TATTTTCACCGGTCGCTTAGCCGAAGGAGGGCGAGTGATTGTCACCTCACCGCACAGGCTCCATAGGAAATGAATGGAGAGCGAGCGACGTCGCCTCCTGCGTGTCGAGCCCTTAAAAATGAATCGCAGGTGACAGTGTTGTTGGAGGAATTCATTTCTAAGTAATTAATAATTATTTTGATCACTAAGAAGTGATGAAATAAGGCTGTAGGAGAAGAGGTGGGCTAATATAAATATACTTCTGCCCACTCCTTTTGAGCATGAAAACTATACTTGTAGTGTTTCTGTTACCTTCTTTTACTTTCAACAAAACTTATAAAAACTTATTACTTAAACCTTATTAAAACAAAAGATACAACTGCAACATTTCATCACTGTGGATTTCATTAAGATGTTTCTTAAAGTTTAAATATAATATCGGTAACAAAACTTAACAATTTTGTTAGAAAGTCATCTTTTGTACATTTAAACATGCTGGTGGAGAACAGTTTCAGTCAGATGTTTAYATATAGTTGTTTGGTTCGAGCTCCTAACGAGCCGCTCGTCACTTTGTTTTCACCTCTGTGTAAGAGCAGAAATCTTTGAAACAAAAGTTTCCATGGTCTCTGTTATCTTAAAGTTCTGCTGAGAATCGGCTGATAATGTGAGTGATTCCTTCGTTTCTTTTGTTTTGATCCAGACAACTTGTTATTGAAAGCTAACGTTAGCGCTGAACGTCAGTCGGATGTAAACACACGGCAAGCCAGGACTGACAAAATATAGAAACGCGCTTCAGATGCCACGGGGAAGAATCCATCTCATTCCCTGTGAAGCGATTTTCCCAAACTTGAATGAAATCGATCCAAGATCGATTAAATCAATTTTTTTTACCCAGCCCTAACTTTTATAGTCCTGCTTAGAAAATACACAGAACACACACAAAAATAAATTAATTAATTAAATAAAATAAGTGAGAAAGCTCATCAGCAGGTCTCAGAAAGGTTGGGTTTGCTTTAAAAGACTTTGTTTGGGTTAGAGTAGAGTTGATGTTTTATTCTCAACAGCAGCTCCATGTTAGGAAACAATAAATGTGCAACAAGCGAGAGCTTCACTCCCTGATCCGGAATCACCAGAGAATGAAAGGAGACTGTAACCATGACTACCTGAGGATGGATCTATGCAGKCAAATGACAAGGATGCTGAGGTTGCCATGGCTGCACGCTGAAGGACTTGCCCAGAAAAAAAAAGACATTGTATAAAGCTAACTTTGTGATGGTTCAGATAAAAGAATGAGGCTGGTGGTGACAGCTGACCTGTCAGCAGCCTTATTGTTCTCTGGTTTATATTCATCACCTGGAGGTGGGCAGAGACCACAGCCAGATGTAGGAAACAATTCAACAGAACCACATTCACAGAGCCTTTAAAGTGGCTTTTAAAGGCTGCAGGAGGGAAAAAAAAGTAGGAAGATTTGGGGCTTTTCTGCTTTAARTCATTATTAGTTGTTGGTCCTGCTCAGAAAAATGCTTCTAAACATTCTTTAGGAACTATATTTATATCATATATATATAATTTATTCATCAGTTTGTCAAAACATGGAAGCTCTGTGTCYGGGTCTCTGCCCTGTTCCGAGGGAGTTCCGCAGGGTAGCATACTGGGCTCATTGCTTTTCCTATTATACATAAATGACCTTCCAAAAATATTGAAGTATTCAAATATTTTAATGTATGCTGATGATACTGTTCTTTTTTTTTTTTTTGTCTGATTTCAATATTGAATCTATTAATAGTCAGTTACAAGCAGATCTTCAGACATTTCATGGTTGGCTTCAAGATAATCTTTTGTCAATTAATGTTAAAAAACTGTGTGCATGTATTTTTCCTCACCAAGGAGACATTTCAATATAACAAATCAACTCACTTTTTTAAACAAACCCCTTGATATTGTCACTAACTACAAATATCTTGGAATTACTTTGGATTCTCATTTGACTTWTCGTGATCATGTACAAGTCTTAACCACTAATTTGAAACAGAAATTATACGTTTAATCAAAAATTAGATCCAATCTGACATCTTCTGTTTCAAATATCTATCTTCATGCCATTATACTCTCAACCATGTCGTACTGTTTACCTGTTTGGTCTCTTACAACAAATGAAATCTTAGAACCCATAGTTAGGCTCTACAACAGGGTCAGAGCACTTCGGTCATCCAACCAGTTTCACTTGTTTCTTTCTGAGCTGAAACTCAGAGGTGACCGCTGTTTAGCAGTTTCTGTCCCGAACTTATCGAACGGTTCACCTTTTTTGCATTTGGACCCCTGAGACTTTTAAAACCTACGCTTATTGATTCTGGAAGAAGTGAAGATTCTTTTAAAGCTGATGGTTTTATGTTGTGTTTCTGCATTTTATATCATTTGTATTTATTTTTGAACATTTCTGTTTCTTTGTTGTTTATCTGTTCATTTGTCTRATTTGTGAAGCACTTTGGTCAACTTCTGTTGTTTTTATRTGCTGTATWGCAAACTGACATCGACGTAAACAATARTTGTGCTTTTTAAACTAAAAAAATGCGCCGATATGAGGTGACAACGAGTTCTTTTACCTCTGGGATGATCAGCGTAGTCAGGTCTTTGGATGTCACCTGGAACAGGCCTCATGGGAGTCTAAAGGAGCAACCGAGAAGACACGTTACCTCCCAGTCACGTTTTTCATACGTGCTGTGATTAACACGTTGGCACAAAACAACAGCAACAGATACAGGACGATTACTGGCTTTTAGGTAGCTTTAAACTGCATTACTTGATGTGTGYACACGTTTACTGAAATACATAAGAACACAACAAAACTCACAAGTGGGTAGTGAGGGTGTAGCTTTCCTGTGTAACGATAACCCGGCCATGGGTCTGTGTTGACCTCTTCCTCTACACAGTTCTTAGATTCATTCTGGTGCTTGTCTTCTTCTAAAAAAATAAATAAAGAGAAAGAAAACATAATTTTATATACATTCAAACTGTGTGTGATAAAATGGCATATTGACATGAAGGAACAAACAAAAGTGGTCCATGATACCTACTTGCTTTTTTATGTAGCAGCTTATGAGATGCCCAGCTCCCTTTGAAACATTCCTGCAGATAAAAATTGATGGTAAATAAGTTTGCAGTAGTAACAAACAATAACATGCATGATAAATAAATACGGGCTGATTTGCACCTAAAAAGTACTTAACTATGATGTTAAAGAAGATATCCTGCTTTTAAATCCTTCTTTTCCACATTTAAATCCTTCAGTTTGGATCTATATGAAGTGGAACTGCATTCCTCCTTATTGTAACTCCACAAGCCCCGCCCCTTTTCTGGGGTGTGTCTCAGATCAACCCGTTTTGAGGCGGTCTCTTTATATCCAAACAAGGTGCTTCCACACCCTGCCTCCAGTAGGGCTGCCAGAAACGATTATTTTTATAATCGATTAATCACCAACTATTTTTTCGATTAGTCGACTAATCGGATCATATATTAATTGAATATAAAACATAGAGCTTATCGC